CTAGTAAATAATCGAACGCCACTTGATGCAGCAGTTCTGAAAAGGAATGATTAAGACGTTAATCCCCTGAGCCTATAAATATGGATGCGTTCAGTGCTGCAGTACCTGTCACTTGCTGAGCAGTATATCTTTTTCTGCAAGAACTTCTGAACATTTTAGCCATTAACTGAAATCAGAAGCGTAGCGCAACTAAGAGCGAAAAGACACATAATTCTTGCCAGAAGGCACAGGTAGAGGGTTGCCTAGAAGAGAATTATTGTGAGGTCTTAAATAACGAACAAGATCATTTCGTGCAAAACGGCATCAACGCGAGCTGAGGATCAGCAAAATAATCACAGTGAAATTCGCAGCAGGTTGTGCGCCCACTTCAACGATTGGAAATGGTAGCATTAATCGGTGCACTTAGAAGTTCATAGGAAAAAGTCTATGCAATGTGCAGCACACGTCAGTGTACTTAGAAGTCTCAAATAGTATTAAAAGACTTCAGTGGCAAAACCGGGAATTAGAAGGGATCAAGTTTTTTTTGGACTGACTAAGATCAAAGGCTCGTGGATTTCGTCGAATGCGTGAAATTGCATTTGATGAGTTTATTTCACAGAAAACTCCCTGGGAGTCTCGATCTTAACAAGCTCAAAATAATGCGTTCCGGAATGAAACCGACGAAATATACTCACAGACAAGCGAGGATTTGTCACAGATATCCAGTGCTTAAGAATTAGCAATTCTACTTATTTTGATCATTAATTCGTAAGGACCAGATTCAGAATCAACTTTGTAGAAGCAAATTGATTAGCACGAAAATCTGGACATTACAGCAAATGATCTTGGCGAAGGCTATAGTCTTTTCCTGGACAAGCCCAGTAAATGCAGAACTTGTGTCATAACCAATGTTATCAGTCTCAGATACCGTTTAAAAAAATAAATAGCGGCGCGCACCAGAGCAGCTGGTGCGATCATGCGCCTTGTGCAATTCCGTCCACCGAACGATTGCTTGCCAATGATTTTCATTGCTTTGCACTTTGGTTTGTGCAAAATAGTTGAAATGTCTGTTTCCTAAGTTGCGGAATTTCCCACTAAAAATTTCACTCAGTAGTACGTGAAAACTGAATTTAGGATCTCCAAGAGTGAGCATCCTTCCACAATTTCAGTCTCTTAGTTTTCTGGTTTTCGAGTGATTTTTGCGACAAAACTTTCGTACTTGGGAACTCTGCATACTCAGGAACTGGATTCGAGTTTATGAAGTTCCTGTTTAGGTAGAAACATCCTCCTGAAATTTTCAGCTTCCTAGCTCTTCTGTCTCCCGAGACAATGATTTTTCCTGCCAAAACTTCGAAGGAGATGTTGGAAATTTGTGGAGTCGTATGCGAGCAGGGAATGCTATGCTAAGATTCAGCTTTCTAGCTTCTGCAGTTCACGAGATAATAATTTCTCTACCAAAACTTTCATGGGGTCCTTCATGGTACTCGGGGGTGCGTCAAGGCTGAGTCCAAATTTGCGGGATCGTATGTTGGTAGAGGACATCACCCTAAAATTTTAGTTTCCCAACTTGCGTGGTTCCAGAGATATTAATTTTCTCCGTCAAAATTTTTACGGGGCGGTCGGTGATACCGGAGAGCATGGGAACGCTGAATTTGAATTTGCGAGGTCGTATGTGGACAGGGGAAATACCCATAAAATTTTAGCCTTCTGGCTTCCGTGATTCCCGAGATAATAATTTTCCTCGCCAAAACTTTTACGAGGCCGTACGCGTTATTCGCGGGTAAGGGGAGACTAAATTTAAGTTTACAGGGTCACACGTGAGTGGGGGAACATCCCCGTGATTTTTTAGCTTCCTATCTTTTGTGATTCCTGAGTTGACAAATTATGGCGGACAGACACACACACGCGCACGCATACACAGACATTCCCGTGACAATATGCGTTTTGTGCTGCTGTTACATAGCACAAAAAGAAATCTGTGCATTTTCTTCGAAGGAAGGGAGAAATGGCAATTGCGGATGATACAGGTACGGAGTGCAACTTTCAATGGAAAGGACGAAAAAGAAAAACATTACAGCCAGCTGTGTCAGATGTACTGATTTTGGCAGTTATTGGCCTCCAGTCTTTTTCGTTACTTTTAAATTTGTTTAATTATTATAGCTTTTTATAAGTTCTTGTATTTTAGGCCGAAGAACTGGACCCAATAACACTCTACAATCGTCTAAATGAAATTAAAGAGGATAAAAATGTGGGTATCTTGAATAATTTTGTACGATCTGTACTGTTTTTATTTATTCTTCCTTATTTGCTTATTTACAGCTACTCACAAATAACAGTGGTTGGTTATTTACACAAACTTCATCGAAATTGTTTGCTGAGGTGGCTGGACTGTGCAAGGTCAAGTCGGACTCTGCTGAATCCGCTGTACTCGGTGAGTGAGCGGTTTTGTAACGCGCGGAGGCGAGGGAGGGGGGGGGGG